AGGTCAACCCACTTTTACATAATTTGCGTTTATACTTAGACATGATTGTATCAGGAAACCTTTATTATTTTCATGTTTGGGTGAATTATCGTAACGCATGTCGTCCGTCACATGACGGACTAAGATTTCGCAAGGATTTATCGGGCTTGTGAGATGTTGTATCAAGGGCATATTTGCTCGAATCTGCATTAATATCTGCTTCAAAATATTCTTTCTTCGACTTTTGACGAGGCCAGCTTGCGAAGTCCTCCGACTAGCCCATTCAAACGAAATGAAGTGTATGTTAATACGAAGAAATAGCGCCTTACCGATTTCTGCTTGTATTTGATAGCCAACCTCAATCGGACCAGACTATGTGTCCGACCGTGTTCCGGCTCCCTGAAGAAGGGAATCCAGGTCTCGTGCTGTCTGAGGAGGAATTTGAGACTTGACATCGACCTATCATTTGGTAGGTCGTTGACTTCGTCATCCAATTCGTGGCCGTGCTCAAGGCTGGCCGTGGCGTGGTTCAAGATGATTGCAAGTTCACGGGCGTCCCTAGTCTGGTCGAGTAAGTCCGTGGCAAACTGTTGGCACCGACGGGAAAGTTCCTGATAATCCGATTTGAATTCATTTTCCAGTCTCCCCAATCTGCTCAACTGCCAGGAGAGCTCAAATGCCGTTATTACTGGATCGCAGCTAGACAGCGCGATCAAAGAGGGGCTTGACAACGCTCGATAAGTATTTATTCGAGACTTGGAGTGTCGAAGGCTGTCTATTCTCTGGGCTTCACCACAGTCGAGACATGCGCAACGGACGTCATGAGGCGGCAAAATTCGATCTCCACGCTCTAGCAACAGACGCAGGATCTCGTAGTTGTCTCGATGAGCAGCCATGATGATCGGAGTCAGATCGGGTGGAAAGCTGGCTCCCAAAAAGACCCCTTGTAGACGCTGATAGAGGAAGTATGTAGTTGCATAAAGGGTTAAAAGACGACGTGAGAAGCAGCGAAAGAATGGAGCAAGATAGATTAGAATAGCAAATAATTGAGCCTCAGGTTACTTAACTTCTTATAAGAATAACTTTTGCATAGCTTTACATGTACCTTGCTTTGCGACTTGTAGAAATGTACATTTAAAAAAAAGAACTGAAATGTCTTTGTAGAAAATATTTTTCCTACGAATATTTGCTAACAAAAATATGCGTTGACCAAGTTATCTTCATATCTTTTAGTAAATATAAATATCTTAATGTGTCTTATGACGAAGCTCAATGGGCTCTTTAGGTTTGTATTAATTG